TTTTATAAATTTTCAGTGAAGTGGAAGTCTTTATGTTCTAAAATACATAATAGACAATAATTCTAATAAAAAGCTAATTTTATAAAAATTAAACAATAAATTGTAGTTTTTTTCTATATTGATTTTGTGCGTTCCCATAACGTATTAATGAAGCCACGCGCACTTCACGCACAGAGAGTTTTCACTTGTTTTCCCGTCGGGTCCATCAAGCCGACGACGGGCTCATCAAAATATTTGCACAGGGCAAATATGCACTCCCGCGTACAAACTCGACTCGGCGGCCGTTGACGACGAGCACACACGAGGACCAAAATGAAAATTGGTCGGGTCGATTGCGTGTGGATTGCGTCATGGAAATTCGAAACCAAGAAGAGCAAACAGCATAAATATCAAATGATGCGATCCTTTTTAATGCACGCCGCCCGCACCACACACAGCAGATTATCGCCCGTAAAACCCACAGCTGAAATTGATTCCTCGCCCGTCGCGCAGCGGCGACCCCACTCGAGCTTGAACATCGTCAACTTTTCTGTCCAAAGCTTTCCAACTTGATGAAAATATAAAACGTTTTTATATAAAGATCATTTTTCTCCTCCCAAAATTAACACAGTATTTATAAGGGAATTTCCTTGAAAGGACACGACACAATTAATTTTTCACTTTCCACTCCTTTTTTTATGCTGGTTAAAAGGATAAATAAAGGCAAATTATTAAGCTCAAATTAAGTTAACTCATTAACAAGAACACCATTCTAACGCATCATTTGTAAAAATTACAATCTTACATAAAATTTTAAGTTGCGAGTTGGAAACCGAAAATAAAAAATAAAAAAATAAAGCAATTAACAGCAAAGTTAATATAGGACGGCTTATTCACAAAATGACAAAAGAAAAGCGTTTAAGCTAAAAAAATCAAAATAAAAAAGTTTATAATAATTAAATTAAATATATTACATATTTTACATTATTAAAAAAATGTTTGAAAAAATACTTATAAAATTAGTTTATTATTTTATTTAAAAAGGCGCATTTATTTTTTAAATTAAAAATAATAGTTGTTTTCATTTCATATTCATTAAATTAAATAAACGTTTTTTCAAACTTGATGCTATTATTAATCAATTATCTGTTGTCATGAAAAAAGAAATTTTGCATCGCTACAAGCGAGCGTGAAAATTTGAGCTTTTCTGCTTCGTAATGCCGATGGCCGTAATTTGCCATGTGTGGCTTATAGTGTGACACACACACGACGACGCATTTTTGATGCGATTGATAATTCTATCAGCAGAGGCGTGTGGGATGATTTACAGCGCACGATCTTTGTCTGGGATTAGGGTCGAGTAATCCCCAGTTAAACATTCAATATTGTAGCGCACAACAAGCTCTTATTTTATTTATTATATTCCTGGGCTGCCGGCAGATAAGATAAAAAAGTTTGTGTCATGTGCGTGGAAGCCTCTGCTACTTTTTCGGCCGCATCACCCTGCACCAGCACATAACCGATTTTCAACGCTTTTGACGTGAAATAATTCTGAGTATAAAAGCCGAATGTGTAACAAGAGTCTGGGGTCAACGTCATCATTTTTTTGATGAAAAAAAATAATAATAAAATTTTACGCAAAAAATGAATCATGAAGTTTGATTTTGTGATGCAATTATAATTTTATGCCAATTTTTTTTTGTTACTCCTTCTATTTTGTTAAAGAAAATCGTGATTTTATAAAAACATTAAGAACGTAATAAATATTCTTGTATTAATTTATTTTTACTTCACTTTTATTAGTAAAATTAATTTCATTAATTAACAGTTAATTAGAAAAATCTGGGACTTTCTTTAACTAAAATAAAATAAAACGGCCCTTTGTTTAAAATGACTTTCAAAATAAAAACATGGAAAATACATTTGATTATATTTTTGTTTGGAAAAATGGAAAATTTTTAGAAAACTATTTTTGACGGTGATAAAAATACAAATTTCTACGAGTAGATATAAATTGTGAAAGAAAAACAGAATAATTATTAATCTATGGAGAGCTAGCGTGAGTCGAAAATAATCTCTTAAGCTTTTTTGTGGAAATTGTCAAATACCTAAAGATAACGGCACAGCAAATTGCATGCTTTCTGGAGTGGATGCAAAATCAACAGCAAATAATGTTCTGATATGTCATCTCGAAAAGCATTGATCCGGCCTCATCTTATCGCAGAGTTGTGAATTCAGCAGTAGCACAACAGATAATCTCGCACTAATCTCTCGCTAATAAATATATCTGGTTAATTTTGAGAGGATCGTGAAAATGATATTGCCAAACACTCAATTTAGATTGGCATGCTGTCTCAATACTTCATCCTTTTATCGCCGAGCATAGCCCAATTAATCTACAATTTGTCTGCTCTCCATGCAAAGCAAATGATATTGTAATGATCTAATTACAACAAGTTGACAGGACAAATATTGAAATGTGCGTATATGATAATTTACGACACAGATTTTAATGAGGTTGAATAATCGCAGATAAACAAAGCAGAATTTGAAGATACTCGAATGTGATATTTTTTATTTGACCCACCAATCTTATAAATAAGTTGTTTATATAACAGGTCAAAATGTACAATAAAGCTCAAATTTCAAATTTGGCATCTTCAGGAAATGCTGGAAATTGAAAATAAAATATACTAAAATTGTAATCATAACATCTTTGTGAAGGAACCAAATATTTTGTAACATATTGAATTCAACATTTTCGCTCTTTTCCATTTTTTCTCGGAGAAAAACCAACTTTTGCCATAAATTCCAAGTTTTCTTTGAGTGTTAAAGAAATCAAGAAAATAAATTGTTTCATAACTTATTTATTATGTAATAAAGAAAAAGAGAAGTACTGATTCTTTGCTGATTGAAGTAGCAAATTTTAAGAGTAAAAAATTCATTTCCTCCCAAAAATCTTATAATGTTTTACTTTAATGACATATATAATTATCATTTATTTGAGAATAGGAATTTTCAAGAAAGCCCTGCAAATTGTTTTGTCTTAAATTTTGCATTTGCAATCATCCTTTGTGTAAGATTTAAATTAAAAGCTTAAAATGGATCACCCTTAAGATTTCCCCTTAAGATCTTGTTAAAAAAATATCTGCGAAGTTTTTGGTTGTTCACAGCACGTTCTATTATTAAAAACATTCAAAATATTCCTTTATTATTTCACCGACGCAGAAAGAATTCACTGGTTTTGACATGTCCAGCAGAAAATTCAAAACTACAAGTCTTAACAATGAAAAGAAAAAAGGTCCGAGAGTTTCCCTTTCCGCCAAAGTCAACAGATTTTCCCACAGCCGGAATGTTTTATCTTGAATGAAATTCCTCCTTGTGTGGGAACAAAAAAAGTCGAAGGAATAACACACAAAGTCTGGGGCCAGTGTTGTGTAAACACTGATTTGTCCCCTTGAGACCTCAGGTACAAAAAGGTATCACTTTCTTCCAAAGGCCGCGGTGCCTAAAAGTGTCGAACGCGCGGCGATCGAGAGGGTTTATTCAAACGCCACTCACTCTCTCTTTTGCGGCCTGGACTCACAAAAGGGTTAATTGGGTGTGCGCCTCCGCGCACGCAACACCCAATTAAGCAATTTGCATTTAATCGCTCTCGGCTTGAATTCGGAGCGGCTAATTTTATGTAAAATGCCATCTATCACTCAAGCGCGGTTCGTGCCCCTCTTGAAACGCGCGCGCCGTGTTTATTCTCGGATAAGCCGTGCGGGGATTAAGGGATCTGGGATAAGCAAAGGGCCTCGAGACTCCTCATCGGCAAATCAAAATTCACGGTTTTATTGCGCGTGAAAATTTTGACCTCGGAATCGCCTGTTGCGTTTGAATAAAATATTTGAATATTTTAAGTATAATTAAAATGCAAAAATTTTAATATGCATATTTAAATTTTTGGTTTGATGTTTATAAAAAATTTTTTAATTAACGATTTATATTTAAACAATAATAACACATAGAATAATAATAGTCAAATATGATAATTTTTATCAATAATGTATTGAAAAATTATTAAATATATAATTTGTATTACCTTCCACTAATTAAATTGTTTAATGAATATGAACTATGTTTATGACAATATCTATGTTTTCTATTTTAGAATATTGAGAAAATTGTAAAAAAAAAATTATACCATTAAAGACTTAATGCGCTTGTAATGCAAAAATAATTTATAAATATGAATACTTGTCTTGAACCAAAGGAATACTTTCTATGCATCACTATATAAAACGAAACTCGATATGATGGTTTTCTGATTTTGAGCTCTATATGATTGAGAATAACCCAATCAGAACGCTCGGCAACAATCAAAATTTCCTCTGGGTGAGCGGACATCAATGAAGAAAAAACATTGAGCCATATATTTATTTAATTTTATACTTTGAGGCAAAATGTCACATCTCTTGATTTCTTTGTTTTTACTTAAAAAAAATAAATGTTTCCAAATTAGAACTTTATCAAGAATATATATGCAATTAAGGTTCAATTCATTTTTATATTTTGTTCCTTGCACAAGTCCTAACAATCAAAAGTTTTTCACTTCATCATACTGCTTCATGAACGACTCGTGGAGTGCTCATTTCACCGTAAGGTTATGAGAAAGTTTTCAATTATAAATTTATAAAATAAAAAGATAATAAGTATGCGGATCTATATAAAATAAAAGGAGCAAATTCTGTTGTGTCCTAGTTTGTATATAATTTCATACCATCAAAATTCTACTATGAGAAGGTTTTTTTAATATAGGAAATTACAAAAATAATATTATAATCTGAACATTAACAGAAATTTAAAGAGGTTATATAAATTACAAAAAAAATCCTATTTCATTTCCATTTCTTGCCATGAGAATTGATACAGTTATAGCTACTTTAAACCCTAGATTTTGTCTTATTTTCTTTGGTTATATTGCTAAAAAAACATTATTCCCGCAAAAATTAATTAGATGAATTGAAATTTCCTACCTGGCTTAGGAACATTTCTCTTGACTTGCATCCACTTGTAGGTGGGCACGGCGGCCTGTTGGCTGCTGTGGTTGTGGTTGGGTTGCAGGTGGTTGTGTTGGTGCAACCGCTGCTGGTACTCTGGAGGTTGGGGCGGCGGGGGCGGCTGGTGGTGGTGCTGCTGGGGGTAGTAGTCGGTGGCCTGGTAGTACTCGGAGTAGTACTGGTGGTGTCCGCCGGCCGTGTGGCCGCCGCCGCCGCCGGGGCCGGCGGCCGCGTAGTCGAGGTTGGTGTAGCAGAGGCCGTTGTCGGTGGTGATGATGTCGGCGGCCTCCGAGGGGTAGTAGTAGTCGTGGGCCGCCTCCGCCTGGTGGTACTGCTGCTGCGGAGGCGGCTGCGGGTGGAACTGGCCCGGGGGCTGCTGGGGGCCCTCGTAGCTCGGGTACTCGGACACCATGCTGTACATCATCTCGCTGCTAGTCCATGGCCGGTTCGCGCCGCACTGCCCCGAAAGGCCTCCGCGGCCGCCGCCGCCGCACCACGTGACGCGTGGGGCGGGACCGTCCCCGCCTTCCGCCGGCCCCTCGCACTCCACATACACGCAACCCCGCCACACGCGCGCATCGATCAAGGACCGCGCGCTCGTCCTTTCCTTTACACTCTACCTTTCATCATCTTTTCTCCACAAAAATTGTGAAATGATAATTTATTTCCTTAAAAGCATTTCCTCTCTAAAATTTGGTTGTATTTAATCAAAATTATTTAATTGTTAAAAATAACAACTTTTGAGAGGAGAAGCTGAATTATGGAAATTAAACATAAGACATAAGTATTATGATAAGAGATATTTTTGCGCTGAATCAGTTTTGAATGAAAAAAGTTTTATTAAGTTTTATTTTATCGTTCGGGCGGTTCGGGGATCTTATAAAAATGATGACGATGATGAGCTTAATTAGAACGTTGGTTTTATACAAATTTGCTAGCAATAATCTCATTAATATATGTTTGATAAAATGTAAAATTTCAAAAATTGAGATATCTTACTATAAAAATAATCCCCCGGATAAGAAAATTGGAACAGTGCAATAAATCACTTAGCCTGAAAAGGCATGCATAGCTTCAATATGAGACCAAATTTTTTTTAACTTTTTAATTTTATATTTGTTTTTCTTAATCCCTATAAAAGACTAGTTTTGAGCTGAAATATTATAATTATTGAAAGGTCAATAAGAAAATTTGAGTATCTTGGCAAATCTGCTGCACAATGAAGCCCATATTTTTTTTATTTTCCTTTTTTCGCAATTCTTAATCTTTTTATTAAATTTTTTTTATTTATTAGATGAAAACACAAATATGCGCATTGAATTATTTTACATATCCATTGAAGAGTAACGGGTAAAATTTTATCATTATAATTCATTACAATTCCCTTTTCCATGCTCTTATACGTAAGTCTAGACTTGTTTAAATAAAAGTTAATTCAATTAATGACCACGGAACTCCGTGCGTCGTTGTAAGTCATTAAATTCGTTATATAAATAAAAATTTACTTCCAATTCAGAGTGTAAATAATATAACGAGTTTTATATATTATAAAAATTCCATTGTAATAATAATAATGCGATACGAAGCCACATTTTCATTTGGCCGAAGGGTACAATTCAAGACAGCCTATGCAATGAACTTTGACTTTCAATACTTAATGCGTTACTATTTATAAATTTATTTAGTTTTCATAAATTAGCTGTTGAAGTCAATGCCCTCCTCTGATTTCGTCATAGCCGTGCATCAAATTGATGAGTCAACGAATATAACCTTCATTTTATACTTAAATTCTAAGACAATAATTGAAACAGAAAAGTTTAAAACGCTGATGAAATGCAATATGTAAATGTTGCAAATAAATTTATTTAAATTGCTACAGTCTGATTTTGTTGGAATATAATTTTTCCTTTTATCTTCAATGCCACCAGCATCAAATTTATTCCTTCCAAAATTCTCTCGTGTGCTTTTTTAAAAAAAAGTACAATTATCTCTCCTCCGCACATGAAGCTCTCTAGCTGATGGCAAGTTGGAGGTTTTTAAAAAGTGATTGGCACCTGAAAACTGAATTGTGTTGTCAAAGAGTGCGTCTGTGCCGAGGGAGATAAAAAATATATTAACGGAGCCTCCGTCGAGCGAGCGTCCAAACGATGTATGGGTATAATTTTAACAAGGCGAAAAAGGATGACGGAGAAGAGCTCTGCGCGCGAGAGAGTGTCAGGCAAAATATATAAATAATAAAATATGTCGCCCGAGTGTGTCGATGTCTATCTCGTGTCCATCACCGGGCTAATTCAATAAATTGGCCCACGGAGTCGAATTTTTTATCTGATTGGTGTTGGTTGCTCCGCGCTCTCGACTGCTCATTAAAACTGTGCCATGGGAACAACGAGAGACGCTGGATGGAAAATCGTCATTTCTCGTCGAAGCAGCAGAGTTGCAGCAGCAAAGGGTTCACTTTTTATCAAAGTGACAGGTGCTGGTCCTGTCGCAGTCAGTCACGGCCCTATCGTTAGACCAGTTGAACACGCCGAAATTATATGACAAAATTTTAGAGAGCCCTAGACACATTTCATATCCTTGTAGGTGTAAAAGAAATTCTCTTTCTACTCGTTTTAGAGAGGTTCTTCTGTACAATTTTCAGTAAAATTATAATATTTAAAAATAATTTTTATAGTTGTCAATTATTATTTTAATTGTTCTAAGAAAACGAATTAAAAATGTTTATTTAAAAAAATTAATATTTTTTTGATTTTTTTTTAAATAATCAATTTCATTTTTTTTAACTGTCAGTTTAATAAATAACCATTCACGTCAACATTAACAAAATTTAACATTATTGTATAAATAATACAAATTATTAACTTTTGTCACTTAACTTATCATTTTATTTGATTTCTTTGATTCAACTATCAATTCCATTATGGTGTATGAATATGCCTATAATAAAAATTAGCCATTGTTTGAAATATCTTCATGCTATTAAGTATCAAATATCGCAGGATCATGAAGGTCATGAAAATAGTTCGAAATTTTAAATATGATTGAATTAAAAATAATTCAGATTTCAGATTTGGAAGAAAAAATTAATTTTGCCCGGCTGATTATCAAAAAAAGGTTGCCAAAAGGCAACATGAAAAAAAGAAAAAAATGGCAAATTCAATAGTTTGATTGCTTAACTTGATATTTTAAAATTCATTTTGCATTAGTTTTGTCCACGGTAGACACAAACTTTATGCTATCGGTTACGAGGTTAAAGTTTTAATTTAAGAATGCATTAATATTTTGGTTTCTTCACTGAATTGAATTTAAAGATTATAAAATAAAGTACTTGCGTTTGAAAAATATACCACATGAAAAACCAAAGCCTTTTGTCTGAAGCAAAACAAAGCATGAACAAACCTCTCTCGAATAAAAAAGTGAAACACAACAATGTTGATGTCAAATAATTTTTTCACTTCAGTGCGGAGAGGGCCGTGTCTATTTTGGCCTTTGCTGCTTTACATTGAGAAATTATACACATTTATTTTTAATTTGTGAAGCTAGCAGAGGCTGCCCTTAAACATTTTTGATTGTACGCGGCGTTTGACAGGAAGCGATTCATCATTTCTGTGCCTCTACAGCTCTGACCGCGCGCGCTGCCGGGCGCTCCTCATATAAGAGAATCAGGAGCCGTCGCTCTACCTGAATCCTGAATGGAAGCTGCGCGTGTGTGTCACTCACTCTCTGCTGCGACCCTTTTTACGACAGAGGGACTCGTTTTTTTATTTTTTTGTAAGCTTTGGAAAAAGAAATATCAGACGAAGACTTAAGGGAGGAAGTTTTTCAAAATAATTCTCTACATGCAAAAAATAAAATAGTAATAAACAAAAAACACACAAAATACAAAACTGAGCCAAATAAAATTTAATTAAAAAATAAAATAACATTTCTAATTGTTAAAAAAAGCTGTATAATAATTTTACATGATATAGTAATTAAGTCCTATTTAATTTATTTTCTTTGAATTAAGGAGAACTTTTGAGTGTTAAATTTTTTATTAAAAAGACTTAAATTTTTAAGTTATATTAAATTGGTTTACCGTTGGTTTTTTATCTTAATTGTTCCACATACAATGATGAGCAAAATCAAATTGTTTATTTATTATATAGTTGAACATTTTTGTTAAAATTTTCCTTCATTTGGCAAAGTACCTTCGATTTATTTTAATTAATTAATTATTCCTTTTTCATAATAGCAACGCGTATATCCGCCTGCTGCTGCGTCTTTCCTCCTTCTTACATAACTTTTTTTCCAAACAAAAATATCGAAAACAAGTTGTCTGCGTGTCGCGCCCGGTCCGTGATTCGGAGATCAACTCGTCACTCACGTGGAAGGGCCCATCAAAGATAAAAGAGCCTCACCCGAACAGTCTCATCGGCGCTTTATAATATTATATGACCAAATAATATACTCTGCAGTGGTAACTTGTCTTCGATTAAAATTGTGATTCATGAATATAGTTTCATTGAAGTCTCAAAACGGTTTGTTTATTATATTATTATTATTAGTGAAAATAACTTATAAATTTCTACAACTAAGGTAAAATTTTTGAAAGTTTAATTAAAATATTTAGCAACATTTACAGCTTACACGCTCTAGCTTTTATATATTTTATATTGAGAAATTCAATATTTAAACATTTAATAATTGCGTGCTTCAATAATAACAAAATGTTTCAAAAGACTTTTTCAAGGCGGTGAGTCGTGATCTGCACGTTATTACGCGCCACTGAACCCAAATATGTGCACGGAGAGCTTCGCGATTTTTTTTTATTCCTCGCTGCTTTATCGACACTCCTTCATCTCCGTTGTCTCCGGCGCACAATGTTTGGACCTCTCTGGTTTCGTATATTATACCAAGCAATCGAATTTTCAATCTTTGAAAGTTGTTTAGACACCTTCGAACATATTATACGAACTTGAGCATTGACTCGTTAGGTCTCATGAGAAAAATCTACCGAGGCGTGAAATTAATTAAATAAGGATATCAGTGTCACTTGATCTTAAAAACCCTCACCAAATATCACAATATAATTTTTATGTAAGTAATTTTGGCAAAACAGCCTGTAATTCGATTAATTAATCAGCTTATTTCCTTCATATTAAAAAGATTTAAAAATTTAATGTAACAATTTGATAAATAAACAAACTATAAAAATATTGGAAGCAAAGAACTCGGGTTTTTCCACATTGTAAAAACTTGTTTTTATCCAAAACAATAATTATCTTTTTGAGTGTCAATTTTTTTATACAAAACAGAACTATTATAGTTTTTTGTTTTAAATTTAATTATAACATTTTATACATTAAAATTTATATTAGAAAAAGGGATTTTTTTAAAAACTTTATTGATTTACTTGATTGTACTAAAGTTCCGAATTTTTTAATTTTGAATGTTAAATCAACTTTTAATTTAAAAAATTATAAAATCTTCCAACACTAAAGATCAGTTTGAATGATTTAATAATAAAATTCCTTAACAGCTTCGTCAAAGGTTTGAAAAATAATATGGATGTACACGAACAAGCTGCAGCAATGCGCTTTTCATATATCGACTGCACTTCTGATTGTGTTAAGTGCATTGAGTTGTTAATAAAATAATGAGCGCTGCTGCAATTACACTCTGGTGCACGCGGCGAACAAGCAATCGGCGTATAATTATCAAGAAAAGAGACACCCGGCGCTCCCGTCTCCATGTCACAAGGTTGCTCTTTTGCTTTTTTCCCGTCAACGATCTCCTCTTTTAACAGACCTTCTCGTCTCTGAAACGTAAAAATCGTATTAATGAGTCTTTCTCTATATCTCTCCCTCTCGTAAAGCGTGTACGAGTATTTATGCAAAGCAGCTGTCAAGACGCAAAATGTGAAAAACTGGCTCCGCTCTCTGCCTGCGCGATGACATAATTATGTATTTTCCGCCAGTCGTGCCGCCGCCGATCTGTCGCTAATTCACCGTGAGATCGTACACGCATACCATTTTTTCATTTCATTGACTGCAGACCACGATCTCATAAATTCACGGTTCTGATCTGAAATAATTAGCAGCCAGTTATTTTTGTGACTTCACAAGAAAGCTCAGATCGATATATTCTTTAATCACAATTATTTATTAATTCCATCTTATTACAGTGAAAGTGGCAGAAAATTATCAGTATTAGATAATATTAAGTCCTCAATAAAGAACTCACGATTTGAAAAAAAAATTAATTTAAAAAGAAATAAATGAATAAGGCTAAATAGATCAATAAAAACAGAAATATTAAATGGATTATATAAAAGAAATTATAAATAATATTTTATTTTATAAAAAAATATCTAAATTAAAGTTTAAATAATTATAACTGTGTTTAAAGATGTAAAAAACTATTTAAATTTAAAATTTTTTTTTTGTTTTTTGTTTTTTTAATTTTCTTGTTTTAAAGGCACTAAAATAAAAAATTGCTTTGTTATAAAGTGTTCCAATTTGTGACGCTTAAAATTGTTGGTTGTATACATCTTTTTGTGTAAAATTAATCCTTTTAACATATCTAATCTATTAGGGCAACATTCATGAACCTCATTTGGTAATAACTAATGCAGTAAGCTTCTTTCTAAATTAAAAAAAAAATCGGCACTATGTACTTACATCATCTAAAAATGGACTTTTTCTGATAATTATATCAAACACAAATTTTTTCACTCATTTGTCTGTGACCCTTGTTGTGACCGCAACCCCATCTACAGTTCAAGTCTCCAGGCTTTTGAGTCTCGGCTCCGCAACACGTGCGCTGCAAAAATACGACGCCCATCTGCGTTTATTGGAGGAGATTTGAGCGCGGAATCCTATCACAATCTGGTGCTCATTGTGATGCAGGCCTGCCCGTCCAATGAAGGGCAACAACCCGGTTTTCGAGCGCTCAACGTCGCAAAACCAGCCAATGGAAATTTTAGCAGCCATGCGTATTTGTTTTGACACGAGCATCAAATCAAACCTTGAGTGTTTTTATTTCAAGATTAAGAAAAAAACAATAAATTTTTAGTTTCACTTACCAAATTGCAGACTGTAATTATAAAAAAGTAAATAAACAGAAGAAAATATTTTATATATAAATTAATATCTACTCCAAATATTACAAATTTTCCATTTCGTATAACAAATATATAAAGTAATTCTGTAAATTAGTTTTTTAATCATTTTTTGAAGCAAGAATCTTAAAAGTTATAAAATAAATTATAATTCTGCAATAATGTAGTGTAGCTTTTGCCAATAGGTAGCGTGCTAGTCGCGATTGTACCAAAATAACTTCACATTTTTACCACCAGATGTCGTACATGTTATCGCAGCTAATATTATTTCGATATTATAATATTATTGTTCAGCAGCAGACTTTTTGCGTGACCTTGTATATTACAAGCTCATGTGATCAACAAACGCTATTGAATTTTCCGTACGAACGGCGCGTGGCAGATGGCGTGCGTGTTGCTTTTATCGGAAGCCCGCGCATTTACTTCTCGATAGGTGGCTCATGATGCTTGTTTCGACTGACACTTGAAGAGCTATGCAAACCCGTGCAGCATTAAAGCTGGACCGGTTGCATACAGCTTTTTACATAACAAGCTGCGCTCTGCGGTGTGGTTTTTAACACCCCAAGAGACAAAGGATTGCAGCTGCGGATAGTGGTAGCATATGGGCAGAATATTTTTTTGCGTTCACGCAGAAAAGAGCTTGTTTTGAAAGCAGCAAGCGGAAGCTACGATGCTCGTGGGAATTGGAAATAAAAAGGAATTGCAGCCGTGCACTCAGCGCGTATGCTAGATTTCAATTTTTCCGTTGTTCCGTGAAGATGGAGAGACAAAAAATAACATGCATCTTCCTTGAATATGTGAACCGAAGAGTATAAAAATTTAACACATAATTGGAAAAAATTGAACACAAAATATCAGGTCTAAGAAAAGCACGTTGAGTAAATTGCATCTTTTTCAAAACTGCAGCTTAAATGAAAAAAAAGAAACTTATACAACTTTCCTCATTCTTTTATAACTACTCAGAACTCATTCCAATCAATCCTGTTTTTTATGTCGAAGAAATGAAAACCAATTGAATTGAGAGAAAAAAGACTCCGAGAGAAATCTCTGCAGCTGCTTGCAATGCGAGTCAGCTGTGATTATTTTATTGTTTTATTCAGTTAAAAAGTTTGTCACAAAAGGGCCGTTGTCTTTGAGATGTCGGTTGACCCAGATCTTGTGAGAAGAAAGGTCTCCTGCGCCATTAAAGTTGTGTGTATATTGGCAATACGTGGATGTACTTGTTATGTTATTAGTTTGAGAGCAAATTGCGCGGCCACTTGAAAAGTTGTGAAACTTTGCTCCATATATCGAAGCCTGTCGTTACAAGAAGCTTGTTTTCGCTTAATTTATGGCCGTGCAAGCATTACGTAATGTATCTTTGCACTTGGATGATTAACTCGTCCCTGCAAAGAACAAAAGGAATAAGAAAAATTTCCCTTTGGTTGGCATGAATTTGAATAAACTGTCTCCTTTTGACTTAAAAGGACGTCTGCGACGCTAAACAAATATTGAAGTAATAAAAAAAACACTTTAGAAAATTAGACATTGTGCAATTCAAAAGATGAAAGATTCTGAAATGAAACTCGGCACTTAAGTAATTCGTCTTTCTCTCGTGAATCTTTTTTATTTATTAATTGCCATTTACAGAACAGTCGCCCACTGAGAGATAGAATTTATTATGCATGATCAAGGCGAATCGGGATGAGCAAAAAGCCGCCGCGCTGAAGTTAAACCGAGCGTCGCGGGGGAAATCCTAGGAGCTCCATTTGAACAGTCTGCGGATCGTTTGATGTGGAGAGAGTTAAAAAACGCGCTGAAAAATTAACACTCCACGTCAAAAGATTGACAGACGGGCTAATTAACTTGGCGGTGGCCGGGAATTTCATTTTCTCTCAACGTTTTTTTTCACTTTCATATTCTATCTCTCAATTTCTTTTTTAACACATCAATCCACGTACGAGACATGTATACAATAATTTACGAATAGAATTACATAGTATACGGTGGCGAATCGTGATGGGTTTTGCGGCGAAACCAAAAAAGGAGAAAAGTTTTCGGCGGTGTCTGATTTCGGTCAAGATAATTAGCCGAGCTACCTGAATAGCGAAACTTTTCTCGCGAACCGACAAAAGGAAGTTGCAGAACAATGCTAATTAATTAGAAAACTTTTCTTTCCGGAAAAGACGTCGTTAACATTTTGCACAAATTTTTGAACTGGATTAATTAGCAGAGAGAATTCTCGTTGAAAAACAGAATTAACAAGACACATTGAAAAATCAAAACAAACTTCTGCAAATGAATTCGCCTTAATTTGATGTTTTGAAACTTTCGGAATGAGATTTCCAGAGAAAACATCCAAGTGTACCAAAGCAAGAATTAGTTTTTGTAGAGATGGCGAAAGCGAGTCTCTGCCTCACCTGAACCAACCACTCACTTCTTGTCCCGGAGATAAAAACGATATTTTTTTCGTCTCACATTAAATTCCGATAATGCTTGTCCGTCGTATTCGTATTTAACAACAGAAACACCAACAAGTGCGCGACGTTTTTTTTTCATCTTTTCCTCGGAATCGCCTTTTTTCCACTCGGACAGGCGGCCTTGCCTTTTCCTTCTCGATTTCACTCACACCCCTCGCCGAGAGATGATTAGTCTCTGCGTGTCCTTATCGCCGCGTCGCACGTCCCACTTTCTTCCCACACCACACTGCTTATCACCGGTGCCAGCGGTGCTCGCATAGGACGAGTTGCGCGGCGGCCGCGGTCACCAGACCCAGCGGCCACAACGGCCACGTCGCTGTGAGCAGCAGTCCGCCGCCGCTGTGCTGCATCGCCGCCGGACTCTCGCCTGCAACATCAAAGTTTCAACGTTCACTTAATTAAATTGGTTAATTGCGGCCGACGGGCGTTTCGTTAAATTGATTGGACGGGGACATGGAAAACATGGAGCTTTTAAATTTCATGAGACTGCAAATTTATTTGTAAACTGGAACAATACAGCTTGAAACAACATAATTATTATGCTTTTTTGACAAATAAGGGGGAAATATTTAAAATTTTACATTGGGAAATGCACAAAAAATATACAGCAACAATTTTTTATTTTCTTCATTTATTTTTTGATATTGATTTATAATTTTCCATTGAAATTTAACAATTTAAACTTCCAATATATAATGATTTGATTTTAAAATCGGCTTTTCCTCGATGGGTTTTGTGAGTTGTTTATTGTTAAGGTAAAAAAACAATATTCTACTCTTCAATAACAACTCACAAAACCTATCAAGGAAAAGCCGATTTTGAATCAACCCTCGATCGTGAACTTCCACCACAAAATTCCAATATATATTTTATAAGAGGTATTTACATGGTTTTACTGAAATTGTGCGAGAACTAAATTGCTTTTTAAAGGGCATTGCCCGGAACCTTCCAGGTAAAATTTGAAACTATCAATTGCTTTTGTCTATAGAGGTATATTTTTTTCCAAATAATTCAGCGATTATGAAAAAAAAAAAGTGTAAAAATCCTGTCACTTTAAGGAATTTTGTATAAATAGACTTTTGTGGTTTTTTCCAACACCACCCTTTTCTATTTGTGTTAAGCACGTAAACGTAAAAGATAAATTTTGGGTGAAAACTGATCAATACAGCCCGTCTGGCGTGGGCGAGCGACCTCAGTTCTGTCGTGTTTGTATAATAATGGAGAAAACCGCGGTCGTCAGCAAGCGAAGGAAATTTAATTTTTTGCCTAGTCGCTGCCTGAATTGTTCTTGTAATTCCGTTTTATTATACACCCTCGTGAATTATATCAAAGTAAAATCGACCCGAGACTGGTTCTGAGTGAGAAATAAATTCAAACGAGAATTATTCCGCCCGCCGAGTGTAATTTATAAAATGACATCGGAGCTCATTTCCATCCATCGTCTAAATTGATAGCGAGAAACGGGCCATTTATTAATATAACAGCGCGACACGAGAAGAAATCAATTTGTTCTCCAATAAAAAGAAATTAAAGTAAAAAAAAAAAAATTATACATTAGAAAGAAACAAATAAATAAATCGCCGCGGTTTGTTGTTGTTCGGAAACTGTCTTCGGGGCGCATGCAAATTTAAAACCATCAATTACTCTCAGGGAAGACAGGACGTTTAGCCCTGCCGGTGAAACAAAGACGTCGTAAATTTGGCCTGAGACGCACTTAGCACTCACCCACGCCTGTCTTTACCTTTCAGGGGTAATTAATTATAATCGATTAAGCCCATAAGAGTGTCACGCACGTGAAGTTACCCATCCACCCACACTCCATAACTCTCGAGAGTTCGTCTCGCCGCACAGCGAAGGGTTATCGGAGCCCGTAAAATTTTATTCCTCTCGGTCCTGTGATGAAATTTGATTAATGTTCTGACGGGAAGTGAACGAGCCGGAGAGAGAAAGCGACCCTCCTCTCTTCTGATAGGCGACCCGAAATAAATGGATTGTGAAGTTGTAATTTTGAACTGCGGCCTGCCGAGGAGATTTGCATCTTTCTTCATTTCTCTCTCGCTTCAGAAAACGGCAACAAAAAATAAGAATAAGCAGTCATGGGTGCATATATGAAATAAAATTCGATCCGGCGACTCCCTCGCGCATAATCAACGTCGCTTCATTCTTTTTCGCTGGGGTCGCGGCGAATGATAATTCTGCGCCGCCGAGTGGTTTCTGACTTTTTAGCGTCGCTTGTTTGGAAGGAAGAAAAGTGACTTAACTTGGGATTACGTCGCGCAGCAAAATGAAGAAGTTGCTAATAAAGCAGAATTGTCTTCCTCTCTTTAGGACAGACAGCTTTTATCAGGCCTTGGAGAAAATTTGATGATGATGATCTTTAATACAAACCAAGCAAGTTTAAAAAAAAACACACATTTAGATCGATTTTAATACGTTATTACTTTTTAAACAGAGTTTTTCTGATTGGACAATATTCGTGATTGAATAATGAACTGGTATTTTAAAATTTTTATCCGCATTTCTGAATAATAAAACTTTAAGAAGACGAACCTCTAAAAGAGACGTTTTATTTTAACAATTAACAATTTCTGGCGCAAAATAAGATCAGCCATTTCAAATTTTCTGCAATGAGCCGTTTTTATACAAAATATTTTACATAACTTCTGCAATTTCAAAATTTTTGATGAAAAAAACCCTATAAATATTGCAATCACAGTTCATTTGCAAAAGTATTTAAACTAATATAATTCATCCAGGAGGAATTTTTAGTTCAAAAGCAATATCGACTAAATTTAAGCTGAATTATTTTGTCGACTTTCAAATATTTAACTTTTAAGTTGACTTTCTGCCACCAGCCCTATGTAGCAATGATTTCTGCGACCCCCTATTATTTTTCTTTCATGATTGAGTTACGCATTGATTTCCAATCAAAACTCGCTGCTCGAGGGGTCGTAAAAAAATCGAAATTTGCATTCGCTGCGATATTGAAGAAATCTCTCGTCTCCTGCTTTTCCATCGAGGGGGTGTCGAGAGATAGGTCGGTTTATTGCTCAAGTGTACACAAGACGAGCGAGCGAGCGAGCAGCCGCCATAAAAATAATTCTTCACGCCCCGGTCGTCCCAATCTGGAGAAGGGTTCACGTCTAGCTGGAATACCAAAAGGCTGGTGATAGATTGCGGTGATATTCTATAGATATATACACCGCTAATATGACGTGAAAGGAGTTGAAAAAAAGAGAGAGGGCCACAACTTTAGTACTTTTATATATTATATATTTTAAGGGTGCGCAATACCCTCGAGGTAACTGCGGCAAAAATTTCCAACATTTAGATGAAGACCTTTTTCTGATAAAACGAAAATTTTATTTTATAAAAATGAAAAGAAAATAATAGTTTAAATTGAAAAATAGCTCAGGAAATTTTGAATATTTTCTTTTTAATATAATTTTGCAAATTTTAGGAAATAGATAAAAAAAACTATATAATATATTAAATAATTTACAATAAATTTTTGTTAATTAATATTACTGAATTACTCATCAATATTTAACAGAACGTTTTTCACAACCAAAATTTGATAATTTAGACTTGATTATCAAGATGTAGCACAATTTTTGCATGAATCTTTATACTTATTGATAATTGAAACTTTGAAAATGAAAAAATTACTAAAATTTATTTCGCAAAATAAAATCATAATTTTTCAAGCATAAATCGTAATAAACTCAAAATTATTATTTTTTTTTTTTATAAATTAATTTGTATTGATTTCACTTTACAGTACCTGAAAGAGAGAGGAGACCAGTCAAGACAAAAATCATTTTAATATGATTAAATATTTAAAAACAGGCCAAAAATAAAAAACAACTGATTCGATTTTAAGTTTTTATGAGGAAAAATTTAGCAAACTTGTGAAGTCGCTTCTCCCTTCAATGTCTCTTAATGCGGTGGGTATTCAATTTCTTTCCAAGAAAAGCGAGAGCGGGCCTCAGTGCGTCGTACATATGTATGTACGACCCAATCACTCAAAAGCTTCTGCACACTCACCAAACCACCCTGCTCTCTTTTTCTCTTTCGCGCACACAACAAAAAAGGCCGAAATCCATCCCTGGAGACGCAGACCGGTGCGTGTCGTTATAATTCCAGTGCAGTAGTTATTTTTCTACCCTTTCCATAGCTCTAGAGTATTTCCAGCCGGCCCACTTCCTGTTCGCCGAAATGCAAATCCGCAGAGAGCGGCGGAAAATTAAAAATCTCGACTCTTTTGTAGTGAAGCGGGCGAGCTTTGTTTTCGGCCAACAATGGGACCAAGTTTTGCGCGGCGATGATGGATTAGTTCGGAGCAAGATTGATTATATCTCGTCTCTCGCCCGCACACACTCGTAATGAGAACGAAGCAGCCATTTAGGAGTAGCGCGCACTTTTTGCCGGGGTGACAGAAAATTAAATGACATCGCGATGTTTAATTCATTTCGCCATCAAGATAGGCTGTCTTTATGTGAAATGGCCGTTTTTATATAGAGTGACGAGCACGAATATTTTTTTTTATTTTTGTGCAACCCTAGCGATTCTAAAGCTTTATTTACTCCTCAAGTTTGTTAAATATTTGCTTGTTTAAATTGGTATTGGAGGTGCATTACCCGACAAAGTTATTAACAGAATAATGCGGCACAAACTACCGCATTATCCTATTATATTAGTTTATTCTTCAAGCACAATCGCACGGTTGGCTTGTTTTGCAATATTGCAAATCTTTCCTGCCACAAATGGAGTTATCTGCATGCGTAGCATGCATATTAATAAATTGAACATGAAATTGGAAATAGCAGGCTGAGAGTTATGTCCCATTTTAACTTATTACGAAGTTCATACGTAATTTTAGATTCTCCAATATTGGGTTTTGTTGCAAATTGTAATTTAAAGTTCAGAATCTCCAGAAAAATATGTAAATTGTTTCAAAATAATTAATTAAAAATTCCTTGGTAATAAAGTTTACAAAAAAATTGGAATTAGTAAAATTCCTATATTATTTTTAGTACTCAATAAGCAATTATAATATCACGAGTATAATTGCTCGACTTTATTATCACAATAAAAGCGCTCGGTGCTTACTTAATCGAAATTCAAATTTCTCCAGAATTTCGCTGGTTATTTTCCTTGAGAGCAAAAATTACAGAGCTGGGCGGGAGAATAAATGAGTTTAGCAGGCGAGCAATTATTATTCATTATTACAAACAATGCCGTCGGGGATATAATGTTTCGCGAAAGTTTATGGTAGAGTGCGGTGGCGGCTGCGAGATATACCGCGGCGTATTTTGTTTATGCGTCTCGGCTATACAGAGGTGCGCATATATGAATGTGAACACG